ATAATATGGTTACTTCTACTTTTTTATTTGTGAATCTAATCATTTCCAATCACAATCAACATACAAGCATTCTTTTTGAGACAACTTATATTCTCAAAAGGAAAATTCACAGTGGAGAAACATGTATGAGATGGAAAAAATGGAATTAGCACATAAACGTAGATTAAAACATGTGACCAGACACAAAGTCACACAATCAATATTCCCAACTCTCCCTGGTAAACTAATGCTCAGTAAGTATTTGCAAGCATGGGATTGCTACATATGTCTAGGGTAGCTCAATTTATTTTAGTTTTTAGAATAATCAATAGCCATTACATGACCTGCAGCCTTTAGCAATAAATTCATATTCACAGCCTATGGAGACAGAACGTTCACTAGAAAGTGGGACATGATTCAATAACAGAATGTTCAATGAAGCATGTTTAATAATACCTACCAGAGCATGGCTTGTCCATAAACGTTACTGTCATTCTCCCTATTGCTACCAACACAAGACTATGTCCACTTAAAACATCTCATTTTTCATGTCTCTCTGATGGAATAGAATCCCTCCACACACTCCACAGGATAACACTCGCTAATGTCAACCTCCAAAAATCTATAACTCTCTGACTGGCTCACTGGAGCAATTTAGAGTGTGCAGCTCGCTAGTGGCTACACATACACGACCATCCCACGCACTCTCTGCTTCTGACGACATTCGCGACGCAAGCCGCACTTTAATTAATCTGCCATATATGCGCTCGTTCAGTGACGAGGATGAGCAACCAAGAGAACTCAAGATCAGGCTTCTGACTTGACACACAACCAATACATGTCCATTGCCATAGACAGGGTGAGATAGAAAGAGACAGAGGGAGAAAGAGAGAAAGAGGGAAAAAGACTTAAAGAGACAGAGGGAGAGACAGAGGGAGAGACAGAGGGAGAGAGACAAAAAGAGAAATACAGGGAGAGACAGTGAGAGAAAGAGAGAGACAGAAAGAGACAGAGAGAGAAAGAGAAAGAGCCAGAGAGAGAAAGAGAGAGAGACAGAGAGAAAGAGACAGAAAGAGACAGAGAGAGAAAGAGAAAGAGCCAGAGAGAGAAAGAGAGACAGAGGGAGAAAGAGACAGAGAGAGAAAGAGAGAACAGTAGAGAGTGAAAGAGCAAAGAAAGTGGTAAGGGATTTTGAAGAAAAACTTTATCAAGAAGATGGATAGAGATAAAAATTAGAGTGACAAATGATGAAAAAAGTTGAAAAAAGAAAGCATATAAAGAAATTAAAAGCATAGACAAGAATTCAAATGTAACTACATAAATGTACATGTACAGTATGTGTAAACAAAATACAGATGAAATATAGAGACAGGGAGGGAGAGAGAGAGAGAGAGAGAGAGAGAGAGAGAGAGAGAGAAGAGAAGAGAAGAGAAGAGAAGAGAAGAGAAGAGACCTAGAAGAGAGATAGACGAGAGAAGAGGATGGGAGGGGGAGGGGGAGAGGGAGAGAGAAACATAGAGAGGTGGAAATTGCAATGCATGTATGTGTGTGTGTGTAGTTTGTGTGTGCTTATAAATACCAGTACAGGTGGTGGTATTATGAATGGTGTACACACCTAATGCTCATACTGTGGATAAATCAATTTGCTAGAGGCACACAAACCAAATTACAACCCACCGTTCAACCATTCCATTAATGAATACATCATGCATGAATTTGCATCTATTAAATAGTTCAATTACCTCTTACGTCGTATTCTGTCATCTCGTTTGACAATGGACTGGATAGCATTTGATGAAAAGATATATTTCATTTTAACTTCTGTGCTACAATCAAAGGTGTGGTATCATATTTCATCATGAAGAGTTACAAATCAAAGTAACAGTAAAGTTAATATAATAAATTTGCATCATCTTACAGATCTACATACTGTACATCTTTTTCTAGTTATGTTTCAGTTCAAATTGCAAATTAGATGTGACTGATAATCTTGCACATTATTCAAACAGAAAATAGCTTAAGTCATACATGTGCATTGATTTGAAACACATTTTTATTAGGTATATCATTACACACCAAAGGTAGCTATAAAGATAAGTAATTATTATCACATCAGCCAACTTATTTTTTGATAATTCATTATTGAAGGAAAAAATATCATCTAAAGATCATAATGGTGAGAGAGCAAACAGTGGCATGATCGAGCAGCCTGCCATAGTTAAGTCCAACTTAAAGGTGATCTTAGTCTTTGTGAAACACTCTAGTGTACAGTCAAACCTGCTTTAGCAACTACCTTTCTTTTTCATTGAAGCCTATATTAAAGGAACATTTACATAAAGACCACCTGCCTATAAAGACCACCTGTCATGCCTCTCTAGAATGGTCTTTGTATACAGGTTTCACACTAGTAATAACCATGTACATGTAATAAGAGTCCCACATCCTTTCCAATCTATTTGATGTGTACTATGCCTGTGGGTGTGATATAGCATGATACCTAGCACTCTATAACCATGCATCTGAAACTGAGCTTCTCTCCAAGTTAATGATTATTTTTGGCGTGCAGCAGTCTCCAAATATTTGCAGAGAGTGTTAGCAGAGTGCTAGCTCCATGCCTACTGGCTTAATACTAGTAGATGGAACATGTAAGGGATTAGATTGCTAGCATTAACACTCAATGTAGGCAAGATGAAAGTATTATTCATATGTAAATACAAAATCCCTCTCTCGCCTACTTTTAATTTTCTCTCCCAATTTTGCCAGTATTATATCCTTCTCTATTTGCTCTCGATTTAACTCCTTTCCTTTCCTTAAATGTAATTTATTTTCTCGTCCCCCCCCCCCCCCCCCCAATCTTACCCACTTGATCTTTCTCTACATCCACATCCCTCATCCTGTATCCTGTTTCATTAAATACCCCTCATTCCTCTCACATTGCATACAAAAACAATTAATTGCTTGTTTTCGCCACTTGGGGGATGGGGGGGGGGGGGGCTATTTTATCTTCCATACAAAAATAAATAAGAATCATGGGATAAGCTGGAAAATTGTGGATACAAATTAGAGTGTGGACCTATTATATACATGAACATGTACATTGGACATCAGAATATTTGTTTCTATTTGACCTTCTACATATTGCATATGGCCCCTCTGAGATAGAATTGATCCTGATATCGAACAAAATTAATTCATAGTTCCTACATGTAGGTGTAATTTTAGAAGCCACTTGACTCTTAAATATAATGGGAAAGCATACAGAGAGGTTAAATCCATATCCCCACTCTATTTCTCCCTCTCTCTCTCTCTCTCTCTCTCTCTCTCTCTCTGTCCCACACAAATGTACATGCACCCAATCATGCATCCAATCACCCTCCCACCCCTACCCACTTCCCTCTCTCTCCCTCCCCCTCTCTCCCTCCCCCCCTCTCTCTCTCTCTCTCTCTCTCTCTCTCTCTCTATTCCCTTCTCCACCTCTCTATTCCATTCACTTTATCCCCAACTCTCTTGCTCTCTTGCATTGTCTTTAAAGGTAAAGACCAGTATTGGAAACGCCCCAATTTCAAAAAAGGAAATGGAAGCTCTCATTACCAATCATGTAAAAGAATATGTTTTGACTAATACATGATGATAAAAAATTTGCCGGGAAACCGCCTACTAATTCATATATTTGGTAAATTTGTTTCTCTCATGGTCTGTGAGAGATATAGGGTAGTCCCATATACATCTTTCTGTGTATAGTGCTTGTAACTTTACAAAGAATGGGCAAAATTTCTTATCATTTTGATGATTCCAGAACCTTGCAGATGCTAGATGCTAAATGATCAACCTTTTCTGATCGATTCCACAACGTTTCTTTCACGATGCAATCGCATGACCATAACTGGTCTTTACCTTTAACAAAATATCATTTTACTCCAATAAAATCTGAAAATCTGAAATTTCATGACTTCCACTGCGCTGTCTTAATATCCCCTTTCACATGGAGATGCTCAGAGAATGTATAGAATATGAAACCAAGGATGTATAATCTCTACCTCATTGCACATCACCAGCAGCACTCTCTAGCCTCAACATTAAAAAATGTTTGGAAATTCAGTAGTTCTCATCGTCATACAAATGTTTTACTAAATCAAAAGTGTGTCCTTGTTTTAAAATATGTTGGAGATCTATATTTTTCATATACAGTGCCTTTTTGCTCCTTTGTTCTATAATCGGAATGAAATTCCTGATGCTTGATTTATTGTTTCTTTTATGACACTTGGTTCTTGATCCAACTTTTTAGATCAAGTATGAAATCTCTAAGAGAAGACTAATTAATCAAGAACATATTTTAGTTTGATTTCTCAACCCCCAGACACACATGAATGCTCAACACCATTATAAAGCACATCAAAGCACTAACAAATCATAATATATATATTTTATCAGGAGAAACAAATCTTCTCAAAAATCAATATCCAAAGAAATTTCTTACAAATTTGGCAGAAATGAACTCAGGTCACCTGACATTTTTAAGAAGCTGCTCCTTTGCACCAAACATTAACAAACACAATGTGCAGTATGAACCCATTAATGTAAAGATTAATTACCTGTAGATTCTTAAGGCTCATCCATAGATGATGTGGTACACTGTGGCAAATTACCACACTTTTATATGACATGAGCATAATGGGTATCACATTTCTGTATGTTACAACACATAAATATGTGAGTACTTGTAGAACCTTTGTTGCACACAACTAATTCTTTTATCACGCACTTGACATTCACCACGCACTTGAAAAACAAACAAGTAAATCACCAAAAGACACATAGGGCAGGACAGTGGTTGTTATGGACTCCAAAGTACTATGTAGATAGCAGTAAAAACATTCAAACTACTGGAAAATAACATGAAATCCAAGAAAGCAGACTCATATAATTGATGGCATGTATGATGCATCAAGAAATCCAGACACATAAACACTACAAGAGGGAGGCACTCCAGGGAGGGCGCAGAGGATGATAGTGATACTTACGAGCTCTGATGTCATCCTCCTCATAGTCTGCTCCATCGTCTTCTTCACTTGTCACTGAACTCTCAACCTCCTCCTCCTGAATAACAAAACAAGAGACAATCAATGGATAAAAAATATGGTGCCTGATTTATAATTCAGCTCGTACAGGGATCCTTTAAGAACCACTGCACTACATATTGCTACTTGCGCTCTCTATATAGCAAACCATTCCTAAGTGGTGACAATTGGTCGCCCATGATGCCCTTTTTATTATGTTAATTAAGAGCTGATTTGATAAGATAACCACCTGTCAGTGACCACGCTAGAGCAGACAGGCTTTAAATTGAATTCCCACATATATGCAAAATTCAGGATGAATTTAAAGCATCAAACTACATGTACATCATAGTATCAGAAAAATTATTGGTTATCTACGAACAAATCTTATGTTAATTATGTTCACTAAATTTTGAAAGGGAGTGCCAAAAAAAAGGCAAGGTACAAACGACTCGGTAAACTTTAAAATAGAACCATTCATTTTTATGATCATTACTCCACAGGTACAGCAGATGTTTGTTGTCAATGTCTTTGAAACGACTGCCTAACATAAGTGTTGGTGTGAAGCCCTGTAAATGCACTACATAACGATGGTAAATACACTTCATGATGATGGTAAATGCACTTCATGATGATGGTAAATGCACTTCATGGTGATGGTAAATGCACTTCATGGTGATGGTAAATGCACTTCATGGTGATGGTAAATGCACTTCATGGTGATGGTAAATGCACTTCATGATAACGATAAAACAAACTTGAACAATTACCTCTGATGATGAAGAAGCGCTAGAGGCAAGGTACTCCTGAGCATCAAAGAATTCTACAATAGATTCTGAACGTGATAATCTATCATCTGATAGCTGTGGTGTGAGGGGTGAGTGCTGGAAAAGAAACAAAAACAGGATTTAGTAAAGTCCTCTTCCATTCTTATAAAGCCTACTGATGTCATGCAAATCTTGTATAGAATTTTTTTTTTTTTTTTTTTTACAATTTGTCTTCAGTTGTGATTATGCAAATCTTTTGTATAGAATTTTGCTAATAGAGTAAATGACGAGGAACTATTAAGAAGTCATATTTTAATTGATAAATCCTCTGTTTAAAGCCAGAAGGATGTTAATTCTGTGTTAAAGAATATATTGCAGCCTTTTTGGCTTCAAACAGACAATTACTCTCAGACTCTTGTTCACAAATACAATGAAAATCACAAAACTTGATTGATTGAAAAGGTATTCATGGGAAACTACAGAGCAGCTCAAGGGCTAAATTAAATAGAATATACATGTACAGCATAGAAAAAACCTCTAATCTGTATATATACATTCTTTAATTCCCTGATTCAATTCATCTTTAGTAGTGTCCAATGTGTATCAAGAATTTAAAATGTCTTTGATTCATTTATTACCTATCTACCGAGCGATATAAGACTACTGCATGTTGTGAATGTTAGTAAGATGTTACTTGTAACTCTTTGTTCCCTCCATACATGTTTATTCCTTAATATATATCATTCCAATCTTCTCCCCTCCTCCTCTCATCAGTATCATCCTCCTAATCTTCTCAAACAATCTATCCCCCACCCTTCTCTTCCCTTTTCTCCATACATGAACACACATATCTCACCCCCATGTCTCTGACCTGTAGAGGTAGTGTCATATCAAGGTCAGGTTTAGATGCTATAGGTGTGAACGTCATGGAAGCCTCTTCACATATTCTGGAAAGACGGTCGCGCATTTCTTCATTCTGCACTTTGAGCTGTAAAATAAGAACAAGATCAAAGGGAAAAGGTAAGTACCCATGAAATATAATGGTTCTGTGCCCCTTTCATAGCAGATGCATGAAACATACCTTTTATATTGATTCCTTTAATATAAAACTACAGAAAATATGAATTTAGAGTAGATTGACTTGAATATACTGTACTCTTATGTTTATTGGTTTCTACACTCATTCACAAACGATTAACTCTCCCTCTTGTGGTGATGGTGGTGGTTATTTTACCTGACTGCTAAGAAAGCATAAATGCTTGTAAGTAAGCAACCAGGCGGCCGACGGCTTTAGGTCCTCTCCGAGGGACCTGTTAATGAGGATTACCAAAGGGTACTAGGGCATCAACTTGGTTTCAAACCCGGGTCACCGGATCACGAGACCACTGCTCTACCAACTGAGCTATCTATCCCTTTTAGGTCAACTTGTCATTATTTGTCAAATTATCATTACTCTTGATTGATACACGTATGACTTTAGACTAGAAGACTTCATATCACTGAACTAACTTGAATTTATTGATCACCAGTCTGGAAAACAAACATTTGATCTCCATTGGTATATACATGACAAATACCCCTTGATCCCAATCACTAAATGAGTGATTTGATTTGATTTGATTTATTGATTTCTATATCATATGTCAAACAAACATACTTTAAACATACATAATGACATAGTGACTGGCAAATTCAATCATTCAACTTGATGAATCAGTGCTTTTAAGGGTTTAATTTTAATATATGGTAGTTGTAGTAAAGATTTTACACCTAAACAATACATATTTTAAAAAGCAGCAAAGAATGGCCATTTGGTTGCTGTCCCATATTCAGGGGTGATAGTGAGCACTACAAAAAAAAAGTTTTTTTTTTAACTCAACCAAAAAAAAAAGATTCAGGGGGAAAAATGGCATTTAACATAATAGGAAAAAATAAGGAAAATAAGGAAAAAATCAGGAAAAAAAATAATCAGGAAACCGATTTAAAATCGGGTAATTATCAGGCCTGCATGTTTCAAGGAATAAAAGTTCACCTTGTGCATTGTGTCTTGCATGATAGCGATCTGTCTTGACTGTCCTAACGCAGATCCAAGCGTAGATCCTAGCATGTGGGACTGCAGCTGGGTGTCTGCTACCTGCTTGCATTTATCTGATTGAACAGTCAGCCAATGGAGGGCGCTCTTCAAGTTTCTATGAACTGGAAAAGAGAGAGAGACCGTTCAAATCATGAGACATGTAACTCTTTCCATCTTGTGATAGCATATATGTATTGAGCAACTATGCTGTGGTCCTCTCTTCACAGTGAAAGGGATGGTGGATGGATGGAGAGATTAATTATTCACTGGCTGTGATATTATTTAGATCTTTCAACATAAATGACTGCCACACTGGCACATTCCAGATGACTTTAACATCTATTTTAATAAGGTTAACAAGCCATAAATGATAGATGTTTTCCTTTGGCAAGGCATTAATCTAAATTTGCCACTCAATACCCGAGATAGAAATGGGGACCCAGTAGGATGACAAAATTATTTGTGTTAGTAATTGCCTATGCCCTCACGGTGACCATATGGTAGGAATACTCTCCAGGGAGTGGAGATGGTGCACATCATGCGTGAATGAATCGGTTGACTGGGGTAATAATATCTGTAAATAGGCTTAGAGTCGATATTCCGTATTAAGTGCTATATAAATCTAGATTATTATTATAATATTAAGCATGGAACTGTTAAAAAACATAAAGAAATAGAGGTTTTCATGCAAGGAGCTAAAGTGGAATTTATACATGCAGATGACAAGCTATTGAAATAGAAATACATGTACATGTACATACATAATAAAAGCAAATGTTATGAATCTCTCAAGGCAAAATTAAGAGTACAGTATAAATTATTTCATTCTTCATTGACTTCTTTTTAGAAATATATAGGAATCTAAAGCTAACAACATTATGCGTTAGGTCGATCATACTCGGAGGAACATTCCTTCAAAATATGAATGATTTAGAGCTATGCCAGAGGTTTGGTGATAGTTACCTTGATTGGCTGTTTCTAAGAAGTCATCCCTGTTCTTCTGATCTACCTCTCTTGTATTTGAGATGCTTGAGGTATATGACCTGATGCTGACTGTATCCTCATCCACCACTAACCCTGTACCTGGTATCACTGATGATGGATGACTGTTTGGCCTCTGCAATGAAAATCATGTTGGACGGAGCAAAGTTTAACCAGAGCCAATCTATACAGAGTTTGGATAACTATTGTTTTGTGCTTCATATTGTCAAGTTGAATCGGGCTGGCCAAACTCTCCTGATCAATGGCCCTTGTTATGACAAGCTCTTTTATCATTATTACTATGAATGGATGACTGTTCAGGCCTCTATAACATATGAGGGTAATAATAATAATAATAATATTCTGTTTTTATATAGCGCTCAATACATTGATCCAACGATGTGCCTAAGCGCATTACAGATATATTATTACCCCGATCATCGGATTCAGGCTTACCCGCACACAATGTGTGCACATTTTCCACTCCCTGGGGAGCATTCCAGCCAGTTGCCATTTTACAAGCGCACACTTGCTCGTCCAATCACATGAACTTACGCATCCTACCGGGTACCCATTTTACACCTGGGTGGAGAGTAGCAAGTGCAGGTAAATATCTTGCCAAAGGATATTAGTGCTGTGTTGGTATCATAATAACATTAACTGTATTATTATGATTATGAATAGGTGACTGTTATGAGAATGCAGTATTATTGGAGCAATGATTTTAATAACTATGACTATGAATTGAGTACCTGTCTTGCAATATTATTAAGAGGACCTAACATCTCATGTTACATAAATTTGTCCAAAGAGAAAAACAGTACAGAGATATTCAACATGTACTGTTTAGAAAGAGGATACTGTTATAAGAATGCACAGGTATTTCTTGTGCTACAGCCAGTATCTATTTATAGATATCATTCATTAAACTGGATGAGAAAAGACAAAGGAAGGGAATGAATTATGGACGACTATTGACTAAGCAGTGTAATAAGATCTACAAGAAGAGAAAATTGACAAACAAGCTTTTATTTTAAAACAGAAATGTAAAGTGACCAAGGAAATGAAATAAACACATTATCAAAAAAGGAAGGAAAATCAAGAAAGGGAGAGAGAAAAGTAATAAGTATCATTTTGATGCTGAAGACAACATTTTTGTTATATATGAAGACTTATTCCCTGTCCTCCTTTTGTAGAAGATAATATCTCACTGACCGATTTGATATCATGTACTTGTGGGTCACTAGGCGTTTTTCTCCTCATCTTCTTGAGTGATTTACGAGCTTTTGATTTCTTGTGTCCTGATACTGGATCATCGACCTAAAAAAACAGGTGGTAATAATCAGGAGAAATAGTAAAAACATAGTGTTATAATAATAATAATAATAATAATAATAATAATCTTTTAAAGTCCACTCCAAATTTTATTAAGTTAAACCGAAAATGGAAATTCTTTTTGCCCAATTGATCGTGAGCCCGGCAGCCACTGAGCAGCGCCAGATCGACGTTGCTCTATCCCTTTATTGTTGAACGCCAAACAAGGTAGCAGCAACTCTGTCTTTTAACACCTTTTGGTACGACGCAGCCGGGGTTCGAACCCACGACCTCCTGGTTGTGAGGCAGACGCTCTACTGACTGAGCCAACATACCGGTCTCATAGACAGTGCAGAGCATAGCAATCTCCAATTTGAAATGAAGATGCAGTGGTTCTGTAGATGAGTGATTAAAGCACTAGGAATCTCCTTCTTCATTTCTTGTGTGATTTATGTGTTTTTGGTTCATTGCATCATCAGCTTCAAGTCATAATCATCCCAAATAATAAAATATGTGGGTATTATCAGACATAGAGCAGATTATATTGATTCCTAAACTTCCAAACCATCCAGATGGATTTATTTCACATTTCAAATACATAAGATTGTAATGGCCACTATCTGAAGTGTCACATTCAATTACAACAGTGGATGAATAGTTTCAGAGATTGCACAGAGCTCCACGTTGTACAATGCATTTTAAGGCCATAGGTAATACAGTCAAACCTGCTTTAGCGACCACCTGTAAAGAAGAACATGTGTCTACAAAGACCACATTTTTTGTTTCCCTTGAAAATGGTGCCTCATTGGAACATGTAGTGAAGGAACCTGTACATAAAGACCACCTGCCTGTAAACTTTCTTGTCTCCATAGAGTGGTCTTTATATACAGGTTTCACTGTATTTGGATCTTATTCTACTTCACTGCGCTCTCACAAAATTGGAACCAATACAAATTACAGGTAATGAAAACCATGTAGGACTCCAACTTCAATAACAATGCTTCATACATTGAGATCTTCAATCATGAAGGATAAACAAGGGATTGATATTTAAAAGGCGCCCAGGACACATCTTAGTCAGGACCCCAACAATTCTCAAACTTTTACATAGGCTCATGCATACAGACTCTAAAAAAAATCAATCCGCTCCCCTTTCCACAAAGTTAGTGTGATGCCCTGGATAGACTCACCTCAAAGTTGCCGTCTGCATAGGAAGGTAGTTCTATATTCAAGAGCTCTTGCAGGATATTAGACAGACTCACTATACTCACTTCAGCATCACTAAGCTCTGTGATAGAGAGACAAACACAATATAATAAATTACGAAAACAGTGATCTGCTTAGGTGATACAAGTAACTATGACATGCCGTTATCCATGTTTGTATCCTCCAATTCTTGTGCTTGTTTGTAAAAAGGCCTCTCATTATTCTGTTTCTTGACTTGAGATACAAAATATGAATTGTAGTGCAATACCCAAGTTATTGAATAAATATACATTATTGCAGTGAGAGTTCTCTTTGGTATAATCATCTACAGACATTAAGTATTAAATTTAAGCCTAAACTATCATCAGGATTGCCTCAGCTGATAGTTTCCAGTAATGCTTTCTAGCAGGTTCCTGTTTCATTTCATAATTTTGATCTTACTTTGTAAATTATATTCTTTATTGTGCAAACAATTGTTATATGAAGTAAATAAATAAAATCAATCAATCAATCAATCAATCAATATGAGATCATTACATGATTGGTTAAGAAACGGCATCCTTTGCAGGGGGGTTTCTCTTTTGATTATCTAGGGGGATTTCCCTTTTGATTATCTACATACAAACTTTGTATCTTCATACAAACAATATATGAAAGCTAACATACCTTTATAGCATTTATCAAGATCCAGGCTCTCATTCTTAAACCCGAAGGAAGAGCCCATCATGGAAGTACCAAGTCTGGCCTTGGAGTACTGTTTACGTAGACTCTGTCTGCGTCTCTCTAGTGTTATTGCTTTGAGTGTGAGTTCACTGGTAGGTGTGGAGGTGGGCGGGGCTTCAGGGCTCAGGGGTTTGGCAAGGGTGGGGGAGTGTAAGCTCTGCTGTTTCTTGTATAGTTGATGGTGCTGAAGATGCTTCCTCCAATCACAGAACTCATCAAAGGAACTTGCCTGCAGGGAAGAGGTCATAAAGGAATTTAGAGTGTGCTCCTTTACTAACGACAAAGAATGTGATTATATGGCAGCTAGGCTAAAGCCAGGGTAATAATAAATGTGCCTCAGAATAGAATTTCTAGATAGACGGCGCTATAGAAATGCCTATTATTATTATTATTATTATCATAATTGGATTCAAGTCTATGCAAAGTGTTAATTGAGAAAAGAAAAGAATGTTGAATTGTTCAAACAAGTCCAGTCACCACCCGTCTTCGACAAAGACTATCTGAACCATTTATCATTGTCAAATGGTTGATATGCACCCAGTCCTCTTTTTAATTTCTTGACAGAATAAATACTGAATATTTACCTTGAGATGATAAACAAAATCTTCTGTATCGATATCAATTCTTCTTGAGTTCTTGTGTTCTTCTCTCTCAGTGGCTATCACAGCTAATGCTGTGTCTACTGTACCATGTATCTTGCCTTTCTGCAACTGTGAATCGATAGAAGAAAAGAATACATTTGATTGTTAACCTGTTCAATTCCAGTAGTTAGGATTCAATTAATATATGTGTAAAGTGTGGCATACATAAATTTAGGGAGGAAACCATAAGACAGGTCTGTCTTTTGAATTAACATCAATCACCAAGTCAAGAGCGAAACCACCTCATTTATGCTGACTAACTTAACAGTCTCCAGATTAATTCATGTTGCTGTGTCTGTACTTGCACTTCAGCTCAGTTCACTTCAGTTTATATTTGCACATACATACTTGAAATATGATTAATTTATGATTCAAGTCAATCAAATTTAAATCAATTGGAACAATCACACACTAGACACTCCTAGCTGATGAATATCAATGGTATATAAGTCTTACCTCATTAGGGCTCTTGCCATAGGTTAGCATGGCCTTCTCCAACACAAAATATCTCTGAAAAATAAAGAGAAAGGAAACTGTAAATATTGGGATGCCAATATTGACACTTTAGACTATGTTTAATTAACATGAATGATTAGGGGCATTTACACTGTCTTCCAAACACGCCAAAAAATGCCAAACCGGAGCCTGGCCGCGATGTTACCAAGGGCAACTACGCTTTACCGGCAGAAACGCCAAGCACCAAACATTCCAAAACGAAGTGTGATCTTTTGGCATGTTTTGGCGTGTTTTGGCGTGTTTTGGCGTGTTTGGCAAGTATAAACGCTCGCAGTTGTAACATCGCGATGTTAGGTAAGGTGACTTGAGGAGCGGGGCTAGATGTCGTCCTTTTGAAGACAATGATAGAACGATTAATACAAAGAATAACATAAGAGAAGGTGACAGAAGGAAGAAACTAAGAATAACATAAGGATAGACAGAAAGAGAAAGTGATAGAAGGAAGAAACAAAGAATAACATAAGGACAGACAGAAAGAGAAAGTAATAGAAGGAAGAAACAAAGAATAACATAAGGAAAGACAGGAAGAGAAAGTGATAGAAGGACGAAATAAGGAATAAAATAAGGAAAGACAGAAAGAGAAAGTGATAGAAGGAAGAAACAAAGAATAACATAAGACAAGGTGATAGAAGGAAGAAACGAAGAATAACATAAGGAAGGACAGAAAGCGAAGGTGATAGAAGGAAGAAACAAAGAATAACATAAGGAAAGACAGAAAGAGAAGGTGATAGAAGGAAGAAACAAAGAATAACATAAGGAAACACAGAAAGAGGGATTGGTAGAATGATAAAAAACAAAGAATAACATAAGAGAAGGTGATAGAAGGAAGAAACAAAGAATAACATAAGGAAAGACAGAAAGAGAAGGTGATAGAAGGAAGAAACAAAGAATAACATAAGGAAACACAGAAAGAGGGATTGGTAGAATGATAAAAAAACAAAGAATAACATAAGAGAAGGTGATAGAAGGAAGAAACAAAGAATAACATAAGGAAACACAGAAAGAGGGAGTGATAGAATGATAAAAAACAAAGAATAACATAAGAGAAGGTGATAGAAGGAAAAAACAAAGAATAACATAAGGAAACACAGAAAGAGGGAGTGATAGAATGATAAAAAACAAAGAATAACATAAGAGAAGGTGATAGAAGGAAGAAACAAAGAATAACATAAGGAAACACAGAAAGAGGGAGTGATAGAATGATAAAAAACAAAGAATAACATAAGAGAAGGTGATAGAAGGAAAAAACAAAGAATAACATAAGGAAACACAGAAAGAGGGAGTGATAGAATGATAAAAAACAAAGAGTAACATAAGAGAAGGTGATAGAAGGAAGAAACAAAGAATAACATAAGGAAAGACAGAAAGAGAAAGTGATAAAATGATTTTAAAAAAAAGAATAACATAAGAGAATGTGATAAAAGGAAGAAATAAAGAATAACATAAGGAAAGACAGGAAGAGAAAGTGATAGAAGGACGAAATAAAGAATAAAATAAGGAAAAACAGAAAGAGAAAGTGATAGAAGGAAGAAACAAAGAATAACATAAGACAAGGTGATAGAAGGAAGAAACGAAGAATAACATAAGGAAGGACAGAAAGCGAAGGTGATAGAAGGAAGAAACAAAGAATAACATAAGGAAAGACAGAAAGAGAAGGTGATAGAAGGAAGAAACAAAGAATAACATAAGGAAACACAGAAAGAGGGAGTGATAGAATGATAAAAAACAAAGAATAACATAAGAGAAGGTGATAGAAGGAAGAAACAAAGAATAACATAAGGAAAGACAGAAAGAGAAAGTGATAAAATGATTAAAAAACAAAGAATAACATAAGAGAAGGTGATAAAAGGAAGAAATAAAGAATAACATAAGGAAACACAGAAAGAGAAAGTGATAGAAGGAAGTGATAAAGAATAATATAAGAGAAGGTGATAGAAGGAAAAACAAAGAATAACAAGGAAAGATAGAAAGAGGAAAGTGTTTGCATCGAGTGCCGCGCATGCGCATTACCAACTGAAACACGCCAAAACATCATTGAGCTTTTCAGTCGGTGATGTTTCCGCACAAGTGTAAACGGCTGCGCGAAACATCGCGACTTTTCAAAATGAGGTATTTGACAGTATAAATGCGCCTAGCAGTGAAATTTTAGTACTTCTGCTCTCAATGATTGTTTGCAAGATCTACAGTCTGGTTGCTGCTGATTTCTAATTCACGCATTCAGTTTTTAGCTTTCGAGATGAAATGAGAAATTAAAAATTATGGATGTAAGAAAAAAGCATTAAAAATCAATACAGCAAATATAAGATATATCAACTACTTCCCAATGAGTAATACAGAGATACAGACAGCATGAGCAATGAATTTCTTACAAACTTTATATAAATGCACTTTTCAAACATTTTTCATGGCATTTTATTGGAAATTTGACACTATTAGCCTTGTTAGACGATACACAATTTATAGGAAAATTGATAGGAAACTTGTATAAAGAAATGGGAGAATGTCTCCATATTTGATGATTTTCGGAAGAGGGAAGAGACACGTCATTGTTTTTTTTTATCTTACAACCAATGGATTTGGTTGAGTATTGGTCATTTACATTAATGTTCAGGGTCAAATTGAGGTAGGTACACTCAATGTTTGTGGTTAACATTTGATCTTGTTTTAATGTGAGTAAATTGGTAATCCAACTAAATCCCTTTCCTGGAAACTGGTTATTTACACTTAGGAAGTATCCTGTCTAGATTCTCATTACATGACATATCCGGTAGAGTGTACTGTCAGGAAAGCCCATATCAGTCAGATCTACAGAATTGTTACCATTAAAATATAGAGTAAACACTAAACCCTTTAACAGTATGATGACTACATGTGCATAGCACAAACATGAATGTCTCTAAGAGATATACTGGTACTTGATTATGCAAATCAGGGCAAGGGATTCTGCACATTACGCTTTCAGTGTAAAGATTGCATTTCTGTTTGTTATATTTTGCTGGTAAAAATAACTCATGATGCATGATAGACATTTCAAAATCTTGTAAACCAGCTAGGTTCTCTAGAAATACAATTTCATCAACCAAACTCATGATAAGCTTTTAATAACATGCATTCAGTGTTGGGTTCATGTCAAGTTTCAAAGAAAAGATGCCAGTTATATTTGTAAAATTTCAGACAAAAAAGTTTTATATTTGATATAGCCTGTAATTAGGGGAAACTCATTTTGTATCACCAAACTAATACATGTACATCATTATAAGTTTCTTAACAAATATTTATCTACATTGTACAAGGTCTGGTTGACTGCGTAACAGTAAGCACTTTTATGAATAGATTTATATGTGGAGTGCACTACAGGCTTTAGTTTAGAGTCAATACAGCACTGACTGTGTGGACTGAGAAATGTTAGTATTTGTTTTCTTAACTGCCTTTAGCTAGAGACACAGGTTATATTCTGCTATGGTGTACAGGTAATTCAGCATGGATGCTTGAGTACCGGCCATGGGGCTTGATTGAATCAAACTCGTTAACTCAATCCCACCTCTGCCATCTAAAGTGATTGCCCCAGACCATAGCTCAATCAATCCCTAGGCTGTGACGACTGACTGCTACCGGTCAATAACAGACACTCCTTTGACTTGTGTTTGGAAGGCAGTTGATGATATCCAATTATTTTACTGAATAAACATAACCTTGATATGTCAAACATGTACATGTACAGGTGCTTGTATTAACTGACAGTGTCATTTTGATAATGTAGAAACTTATTTTCATTGTTTGATCATACTGTAGATACACAGCCTATATTAAATACATTTTCTACTGTGGCTATCATGATATAATCATTAAGATATTTCCAAACACAAATAACTAGCAAGGAAGTGGGAGAGAGAAGGAAAATTTACCATGGTAAACTAGTTCTCTGACAACCCTGCATCCACAATGACAATGAATTCTAATATAATCAACTTAATATGATTAAATTTCCAATGTGAGTTTAAAAGTAGTTATCTAAAAGACTTTTTGTGACGCTGAGCGTCTAGACGACCCATCAACAAATCAAATATCTAAGAGAATATATAATAAAATGTAACTGGCTACATGAATGCAGGTCTGGATTAATGTATGCTTGACGTGAGACTAGGACGCATTCCTTAACACAAAAGACATTTACACTCCAAGCAAAAAACATTGGTTTTTCTCACATTCCAGAGAATTGTCAGAAGTGCAATGACCTACAAACACAACAAAAACCTTAAATTGAAAACCAAGAATAAGCAAAAAACAGATATTGTTATTGTTTTTTATAGTAATAAACGGTAGTCTTAAAAAAGCTGGTCTTTCAAATTGGTTTTTCAGCAATGTAAATGGGCCTAGAATCACTCATCCCTCTCTCCAGGAGTAATCTAATTCTCCACCAGCATTGAGCAACACAATCCATTTAATCCAAGGTCAGACATGATATCTTCACTTTAATACCTCGACTACTCCTCCATTCCATATCTCTGTACTCTACCACCTTGTGTCAGTTTTGCACTGCAAGCCATCCTCAGCCCTACATACAGGCAAGCTTGTGAATGTGCTAGCCCTCCTATTCCCTTCCATCCCCTCCCCTTCCATCCCCTCCCCTCTCTTCCCCTACCCTCCCCTCCCATCCCCTTTTCTCCCATAAACCTCCCTTCCCCTCCCCCTTCCATCTCCTCTCCTTCCATCTTTTCCCCTCCCCTACCTTGCCCTCCCGTTCCCTTCTATCCCCACCCCTTCCATTGCTCACATCCCCTGCCATCTCCTCCAATTCCATTCGTTCCATCCCCTTCCCTCCCCTTCTATCCACCTCCTCCTCTCCCCTACCCTACCTACCCCTCCTCCTCTTCCATCTTTTCTCCTACTCTCCCCTACCCTACCTACCCCTCCCCTTCTATCCATCTCCTCCCCTTTCACTATTCCCCTACCCTTCCATCCCATTCTTTTCCATCTCCTCCCCTTCCACCTCTCCTCTCCCCTACTCTCCTTTCCACTCCCCTTCCACCCCCTCCCATCCCCTTCCTCTAATTCCCTTCCACCCCTCCCCTCCCCTCCCATTCCTCCCCTCCCCTCCCCTCCCCTCCCCTCCCCTCCCCTCCCCTCCCCTCCCCTCCCCTCCCCTCCCCTCCCCTCCCCTCCCCTCCCCTCCCCTCCCCTCCCCTCCCCTCCCCTCCCCTCCCCTCCCCTCCCCTCCCCTCCCATTCCTCCCCTCCCCTTCCATCCCCTTTATCTCTCCCATCCTCTCCTTTCATTTCTCTTTCAGTAGACACGTAATCAAGTTCAGCAAATCCGATTTTTCATGCACCAAATAATTCTAATTGGAACACTTGATTAGAAATGCTCTTCAAATGCAAGCCATTGCCATGGGTAATATTTTTCAAGGGGATATTGAATTACATGAACATTGGGGATACAAATTTCCAAGCAAAATTGTTTGCAAAACTCCATAGTAAAATGTATGTGGCTCCACTTTATAACTGCCATAAAAGAGGCTTTTCTAAAAGATTTCCTTTCCTTAGATGTACTACACTTTCAACTCCTGGGCCCTCTAATTGTGGATGGTGGTGGAAGCTCACAAGAAATAGAACAACGTCTTGTCATGGCTACATCATCTACCAAAAGCCTTACTGACATCTGGGAAGACAGAGGGATCTAAAGGAACACCAAGAACACCAAGATTCATATGATGAATGCTTTGGTCTTTCCAATCGCTACATAAGGGTCACAGACGTGAGCTCTTGGAGCAACACATAAAAAGAGAATCTATGCTTTTGAAATGAGGTGTTGGAGGAGGATGCTGAGGATATCCTGGAAGGTTCATAATCAAATGATTTTGTCAAGAACCAAATTGGAGCGAAGGTCACCCTATGCCAGCAGATAGATAGGAACAAGTCTAGGAGAGAAGGTGACAACCTGGAGAAGATCACCACCCTGTGCCATGTTGAGGGTTAAAGAAAACGTGGTAGGCCTAAAGTTTGATGGGCGGACGGATAAAAGAGATGCCCAGGATGAAGGTTGTTGGGACGTCATCATCAATAGGGTCACAAAGGGTCAGTCGTGACTTGTAAGGTGACAACGATGACGATGTACTGTACAGTCACTACACCTTATATGTTTTTCTTTTATACTTCTGATATAATCTATTGTCATTTGAAAGCCAACAAGCTGTTAAATCTATGCACAGTTACATGTACATGTACATTGTTGAACATTGTTCTGTATTTTAGCAGACATAAACTCAGTTAAAGACAATCAAGTTTATAAATCCATGGTAATAAGAGAGAGCAGCATTTCTTTCCAATTCAAAAGATTACTAATACTATGCCAAATAAATCTATCAATTTCACGTATTTGAGTTAAGCAGGGAATGTTAAGACACTTAATAATAGAATGAAAATGGCCACGAGCCTAATAAATTGTTAGATCTTGGGTCCAGGCTCTTTTTGTAACTCTGAACGAGTAGTTACGGCGGCACATCATACAATGTTGAGCTCTGTTAATACACTCACCCTATGCCAACCCTTGAGTGGTCTCTTACGTCTCTTGAGTAGATAGCCCTCAATCTTGCCTGGTTCCTGGACTAAATCCTGGTCTGTCTCAACCTTCAGAGGTTCTAACTTCATAGTCTTGCCTCCATCCATAGTCTTGCCTCCGTCCAGGTCCGCCATCCCACTCTCACCTGTATCCATGTTCAGAGATAATCTCACGTCTTCCTATAAGAGTAGAAATAAAACAACAACCAAAAAGAAATGAACTGATGTGATGCCTTTATAAGCATGTAGTACTTCGGGTGAAAGCATTCAAGTTGCTCAATAGAACGTTTCATTTCAGGTTTTGCTGTGTATGTTACGATGTTCACTATTTTCATCCGATGAAAAGCAATTATTTATTAAAGGCCTATTAAAATTTATAACCATAATGCATCATATATATATTTACATATACCGGTAACCGTATTTTCACCAACATAACTCAATGGAACACATTGAGGAGTGTCATCAATCATCTAGCATCAGTGACCTTCATTCAACCACTTACAACAAAGTTGCTTGCAACTTGGCTTTCATACACTTTGCCACGAATCCATCATTCACTGATATTCACTTGAAATAACTATCAAATTATTATGCATAGATCTACTCAATATATAATTAGCTCTCATGGAATGAAAGGGTAAAAACTCATGCATTTACATTCACAACCTCACACACGAATGTGTACAGGTTGAACTGTGGACTGTCCCCAATTACAGATCAGTGTGGGCAAAGTAATAAGAAGTTGATTGGATTCGTGCAAAGGGCAACATACTCATGAGATGTGCATACTATACATGGGAGTGGGGAATATGTATTAACAAAATCAAACAGGCCCCTATATGAAATTAGAGGTTACAGATTTGAAATAACTTGTTAGGAAAGTGGGTAACACTGTGTTGACTGCGACACCTTTTAGCTGAGTCAATTCTCAAAAAAGAAGATGCACCTTTCGGAACCTGTCTACTAATCAGGTGGGCTGTATAACGTACAGACCACCTTATAATTTCGTTAGAATTGCCTTTATTTATTATTATATATTTTTCTTATTTCTAACCACTTTTTTGTGAACAAGATAACTTGGAAATGGCTCAATCAAATGCCTAGAAATTTGGCACACATATGTATAGACATATGTACAAAGCACAATAACGTTTTCAACATTGACCTTCACTGATGACGTCATCTAGGCGCCATTTTGTAAAATTTTACGAAAATCAACTCATGATCATATCTTCATAACCAAAAGGTATTTCTCGTTCATATTTATCATGATCAAGGTCAATATCCGTCCGGTCAATAAAAGGTCAAATAACGCGCGCCTGCGCGTACGTCCGCGCGTCAATGCGCGCGCAAAATTTTGAAATGCTCGAAATCGTCTGAAAATCATTTTGCATACGTTTTAGGCCATTCTAAGCATTTTTTAAAAAATCGCGCGTACGAGCATGCGCGCGCGTTTTCGCGCGTAAAACTTTTGCACAACATTGAATTGCTTTTTTTTTTCTTTCATAATATACCACATATATTTACAAACAAATTGATACCACGTTTGTCTCTTTATGACTATTAATAACGGATTGATCGACCGTTTAACAAAAATTTCCGTGCGCGCGAGCTCTTGTAATACATAGCAAATATGGGCAAAAACATGCCTATACAAAATCCATTGTAGCTCTTTAGGATGCAAGGTGACCCCAATTTGTTTTCATATTTTAATAGAGTATGATTCGGAGATATTGTTTCATGTCATTGTCTCATTCGACCCTCAATTAACTCATGACGTCATCACAATGGCCTCCGAACTCAAAATTCCAATTTGCATATTATGACGTCAGCATATTTATGGAAAATTGATTGTATCTCTGTAAATATTGATTGATTTTCTTCCAAATTTTGATATGTTCTAGCTGAGACAATTCTCTACAAAGGCAATTGCTATTATTTTTCATTTTGACAAAGGCATGGCGTATTTTTGCGATTAAAGGAGGCATGTAAATTTTTTACATTTTGCGTGTATTCTCTATGGGATATGACTTTTTCTCAAAACTCTATTCTACATTCCCGTCTTTCGCGAGCAATATCTACGTCGTTTTAGCTTCGTTTACGCTGAACTTCGAGTATGTTGTAGATGAGACAAAAAGCTATCTCAAATGTACCCTTTATTTTGTCTCAATTTTTTGTTGGATCAGCCCACCTATACTTGTTCCAAACAAGTATTACAAATCTAGTTTTGTACATGTATTCATTGTTAACTTCACAGAAGCATCTATAGTGTCCTTGCATTGTATCCAAAAGAAGAACTATACCCTTTCCTTATTTTTTACTTTACTGCCAAGCATTCAGTAGCGAATTTCATGCCTGCAGCTTTGACCAATTAGACCAGTCTTGATATGCAGTATAACGCTTGTTCGATAATTCGATAAGTAACAAATAAAGTTTTACTGAGTTAGGAAAAACAAATTTTTAACCCACTGCCTACAAACACCAGATGGATCCTGTATCAAGCCTACAGGAATGAGAAATTCAGCCATGAATGGTTTAATATTCAAACTGTCTGACTTTCTTTCTAATCTAGATTTGATGTGGCTAATACGTTACCATCTACTAGAGATCAGTTATTTGCTAAAGATGGCAGGCATGAATAGGTAAACAAAATGATGTAGATTTGCAAGCATTATTACAAGAATAAATAACTTTTCTACTTCACTAATGATACATGTACATGTTGCTCTTTTAACATTCTATTTCATAAACAAAACAAAACATTAACAGATAGGATAGCTGCACTGTATACAGGAAAGTACCAGATATATTATTTAGTATGTCAATTCCAATTTGAGTGATTACAATTTACAAGTTTTGTACAAAATGTACAACTCGAAATTGTTAATGTAATTATTGTTTCCCTCCTTAATACAATGTATTTGCATTCTACTCTAATGTATAGACAGCTGTACATACGCTCTTATACTTTATTTGTTTTTGCATGTCAGTTTACCAGAAGGTTGTATAATCTATAAGTGACATGTGTACACTCCATATCACTTCCAGAAACGAGCAGATACAGATACAGATGAAGAATGCATTATGTGTTTGAGGAAGAGGCATAGTGAGTGAGTGAGTAAGCATGTGATTCATGACATTACCATATCCATTTTTTCTTCCAGGATACTTTCCCACAATGTGATCTTTACTTGAGCATTGCATCTCATATTACAAGTAGAAATGCAGGACTGTGGCATTTCAAAATCTGCTGGTATGGCTTAAAACCACTATTTCTTTTCAATGAAGGAAAGTAGGAAACCTCACTGAAAATCATTGCGTATTCATGGGATCGCCATTGCATACCAAATGAAGACTAAATCTCATATAAGCTGCAGTCTAATTTCCTCTAAGGTACAAAAAGTAAAGATGTAATTCCTGCTGCTTTTAGTAATCCTTTCTCCACATCCTGTATCCATTAATTTTCCAATCAATAAATATTTATGCTTTTGCTGTTCTGTCTCTCAAAACGTCTATATATTCCATTCTATTCTGCTTTTATTTATCCTCACTTATACAAGCATGCATTTCTCTTCTCTAATCACGGTTTATCTATTGCTTTGTTTAATTTCAAACTGAGTATTTGCTTTTACATGTCCGAGAAATAATTTTATACATTCACGTAGTCGTAACAAACTTTAGGTTTAAGGTTAAATCTAATACGAAAATAATTGGAACATATAGTACTTGTACATGTACAGTAGGTCTACACACTCTTATAAAACCTTGTAACCTAATGCTATTCTTCTCTTCCTGTTCCTCCCTTCTTCACAATGCATACATGCATATAGGCATACCCCCCCCCCTCTTTATGTTGTAGTAAGTGATTTGTTATTTTTTGTAGCGTCTTTAATGTATTATGTTACAGGGTCAGCTAATCACAAGGCTTGTTCCTTTCTTGCTGTCCCTCTCATACTTAATCCAATGTATACTTTGTTATTAATTTTTCTTGTGAATTTTACCCTTTGTATCATGTTGATTTATGAATGTTCGCATGTGTTTTCTGGATTTTTATGAGCAAATAAATTGAAATTGAATTGAAATTGAATGCACCCTGGAATACCTGTGGTTTCATTAGATACAGGGCACAATATGCATGAGTGGTTTTAGTAGTACCTTATCATAATCAACATTGTCATTGTCACAATCTTGAACATTATCATCATCATCATCATCATCATCACCACTATCATCACCATCATCATCATCATCATCACCATCACTATTACCATCACCACCATCATCATCATCACCATCATCATCATCATCATCATCATCATCATCATCATCATCATCATCATCATCATCATTATCCTCCTCCTTCTTATCATCATAACTTTTTTTGCACCCCTACAGTACACACATGTGCATGTATCTCCCTTTACATGTGCATGTATGTATCCTGGGACCTGCCCCCTCCCCATATCCCTCCTTGGTGCTCCGATACCAATGATGAATGTTTGGATTCTGTCACCATGGTGACCCTCATCCTTTGAGTAAACATGGTTTCTAAAGGCTGCTGATGACATTCCTAAACTGCTCCTCTTGGAGTGAAGATGATCATCCATGATCTATCACTCCACTCATCACTCATATCATCATCAGATTATATGAGGAACTAGTCCAGCACCTTCAATTTACATCTGATCAACTATTACATTCCCAATCCATTTTCTGAAAACCAGCCTTAACTTTATTTCAAATATGAGTCACACCATTCTGGCACTCGGTAGACAAATTCCAGTTTCCATTTTCATTTCTATGGAACTGTTACTTTTTGGATAATATAATATGAAAACCGTTAGGCAAACACAAAATTTGATTTCGATTTCCAATCATGAATATCTTGATAATCACACAGGCGATCGGCTTGTAAAAGTTGTGGGGTTCCTGACTGACCTAAAGGTTTATAATTATCATTGCAGCGTGACCTAAATCCAAGATTTTATTTCAGAATCTGAGACAAAGTTACCGGATCCCTGTAAGAATAATGCTAATGAAATCCTGCTTTGCTATTATTTAATTCACTCATTCTTAAAAATCTACCAAAATCTTTTCTTTCTTGCACATCCTGCAGCAGGTTCTATCATAGGTGTATTACAAAAATAATAAGTGTTCAAGTCTAGCTAATGCTTAAT